GTTTGGTCAAAATTATCAACTCACTCCTCCAGGGCTTCGTAGCGATAAGAAGTAGACGATAGAGCAATAGAAATCTTACAAACACCAAAAGACCAAATTCGACGTGCCCGGCTAGCTCAGTCGGTAGAGCATGAGACTCTTAATCTCAGGGTCGTGGGTTGGAGCCCCACGTTGGGCGCAAATATTTTTCTTTCAATTTCTTTTAAATTGAGTTAAATCACCACTGAGAAACTGGAATAAAGCATGTCATACTGTGGCTGCAACCTCGAAATAGAACGTTTTGCGTGGTAGCTATATAGGTTTAAAAGCGTACAAACAAAACAATTACTTTCGCAGCAAGTTAACCAAAGATTCTCAACTCGTTCTACCCGGGCAAAGAATTTAACAACATGTTATACAATCAAAATGATACCTGAAGAAACAATAAGACGAATTTCTGTTCTTTAAAACTTCTTCTATGTATGCTCCTGTTTGATATATGTCAGACAGCCATTTGATCGCATGACTATTCATTAAATCGGATAACTACGAGCTCTTGCAGTAAACACCCAATTGGTTATTTTGGCCCCATGAGAGATTCCCAGAACTTTATTATTCGCCAGTTGCACGCAAATCTCGTTCTCCTTGTAAGTCTACTCTACTCGAGTCTACTCGACGGTTAAAGCAGATTTCCCCTCTAATTTCTCCTTCAGCGACGCTGGCAATTCCTTTCTCCCCAGCCCACTTTATATCTTCTGCAAATTTTTCTCGCACAATGACTTATGCTTCCTTAGACATAGAGAGACATACCTATTATGCGAATGCAAATTCCTTACTGTTCATGTTCCAAACAACAAGGGTTTTGTTTTCAACGCTTGAACTCAGCTTTGAAAACAAAGGAAACCACAGCAACCGATAGCAAGTGAAAGCTTAACTTGTACTTACGGTAACAACTCATTACAACGTGCCCGGCTAGCTCAGTCGGTAGAGCATGAGACTCTTAATCTCAGGGTCGTGGGTTCGAGCCCCACGTTGGGCGCCAATTTTTTTCCCTTTTGATTAAACATTTTATGCCTATTGTCTGGACCTTGTTACCAACCAAAAGAGATTTAGG